TTTTTTTTTTTTTTTAGGTGAGCGGAATGGTTGAATTCGAGGTCATGCCGTAACTTTCATCCATTCATCCAATCTGCTACCTGATCGTGGACGACAAGCTTTGCAATTTAAATCAGCAATGATGATTTTTTTCTCCTTTAAACTCTCTAGAATTATCCGTAAAATCAATCAAAATGAAGAATTAAAATGTAATTTCACTTCGAATTTCTTAGATTTAAAAATTCACACCATGAGGCTAAAATGTTAACCTGAAACAGTTAGAAAAGATAAATATCCCTCAATTTGAAATGTTTGCATTAAATCTTAAATTAGTTATAATCAGAGATAAATGAGAACATAATTAAGAGGTTTGATAGATTTCTAAATTAATCCAATTATATATCAGTCATTAAAAATTAGTAGGAACAGAATTTGCTTATTAAATGAACTTTAACTGGTTGTTTTATTATGAAACAATCAACATCCTCGTCTTTACTTTCACATTTAAATAAAGCTGAATTTAACCATTAGTGACCAAATGTCTCAGTGAACAGAACAGAATAAAACGAGCAGGTTTAGACAAGTGGATCAATTCTGATTTATTAAAACAAGTCAATGTTTAAACAGTAGAACAGAATAGAAAATCCCTTTATTATCCCATAATGGTAGAATTGTGGCGTTTCAGCAGCATTATAGCCAAGTAGTCACACAATGTGGACCTTAAAAGTGTATAAAAAAATAAGCGGCAGAGTTAAAAATGAACAAATATATAAATTCTGTGCAGTCAGCCAAAGAATAAATAAGAAATAAACAGCTATGGACATTTTTCCATTAATTTGAAAATAGCAGCAACATCAGAGACGTGCAGAATGTCAGCAGCAGGTTATTTAACTGACTAAAGTAGAAACCGTGCAAAATCAGCATGAATGCAAAAAAGTTGCTGCTAATTAAAAAGTAAAAAGTCATTCGGCACGTAAAAGCAAAAAAAAAAAAAAAGTTTTTATAGCATTTCAAAGATACAAAAAAAAAAAACAGGATGAAACAGGATTTCATCCAGTTTTTGCTTGGATTATTTCTTCTACTCATTTATTAAAATTATCATTACATCATTTTAGTCTCGCTATTATTCCCAATGATTTATGAAAAGTCTTAATTTTAAGCTGATTAATTTGGACTTTTTGACACAAATTGTTCCCCTTTGGTTTGGAAACGGAGCCTGTTGATGATTAAATTCCATTAATTCACTTATTTTAAATCAAATGACTTTTTTTCAAATGTGATTCTAACTTCTTTACATTTTCTTTTATCCTTTTTATAACACGAATGAAGCTGTGTACTAACAAATAAAGCATTTTCAAAGACACCAAATGTCTCCATTATGTTTTTTAGATTTGTATTTTGCACATAAGAAGATAATATAACATTTTTAGACCCAAATCTACACAATGACCTGGTTGTTAAAGGAAAAGTTTGGTCATATTTAGGATTTAAACTCCTGAAAGTTCTTTAAATCTGAAATGATTCCATCCTGTTCAATAAATGATCAGTGT